TTGCAGGCCAGTTCCCAGCAGGGGACTCACGAGAGGCAACCACACAGTGATGTTTCTCTCCCACTCTTTCTCCTTCCCTTCCCCTCTCTCTAAAAGTAAATAAATAAAATATTAAAAAAAATACAAACACCATCCTGAGTACTCATGAGTCTCTACTGATGGTTAACTGATGGAGGTATATTTCTAGATATGTTTTTTCCTTAATATGTCAGTGTATCTCTCATATGGCAAAGAGGAAGCTGTGTAAATTAGAAATTGTACATATCACTATTTTGTGAAGTTAAATGAAAAGTCCCCAAACTGCATCTATTTTTTTAATCTTTGGACAAAGCCAGTGTACTTTATGTATACCAAGAAGAACTATTGAAAGATAAGTATATTAAATTTTGGCCTTAATTACAAACTTTTATGAAGGACTTTAGTTAAAGTACCATTGGAATTAAGCACTTGCGGAAACACATTGTGGAACACTAAAAAGAGCTGCATTAGAGAAATGAAATGTATAGGAAAGATGGAGGTGAGAGAGGATATTACCCAAATACACAGGATATATTCCAATATCACTTGGCACACAAAGAACCAGGAAAACCTAAACTCACAGGAGAAAGAACAATTAATACATACCCATGCTGGGAAGACATAGGTGTTGGAATTATCTGACAAATACTTAGCACTGATTTAAAAAATGCTACAACAAATATGGGGAATCCTTTTTGAAAAATTAAAATTTTTTCCATTACACTTTACATTCAATATTATTTAATACTAGTTTCAGGTGTATAGGATAGTGGTTATACAATCATGGAAATGCTTTTGAAATGAAAGACAGGAAGTCTCAGCAACATAGAAAACACAAAGAAGAGCCAAATGGAAATTTAGAACTGAAAAAATTATAATAACCAAAATAAAAAACAGAATTGTGATGACAGAGAAAGTGCCAGTAAAGTTAATTATATCATCAGAATTTTTTTAGACTAAACTACAGAATGAAAAGAGATTGGGGGAAAAATAAATAGTACTCAGCATACATGGGAAAGCAACATTTAATCTCAATTCTGGGAAAAGAGGAGAAAGTACAGTATAAGAAAAAGTATTCACTGACTGGTGTGGCTCAGTGGATTGAGCACTGGCCTGCAAACTAAAGGGTTGCTTGTTCGATTCCCAGTCAGACCACATGCCTTGGTTGCGGGCCAGGTCCCCAGTAGGGGGCACACAAGAGGCAACCACACATTGTTGTTTCTCTCTCTTTCTTCTTCCTTTCCCCTCTGTCTAAAAATAAATAAATAAAATCTTTTGAAAAAATAAAAAGTATTTTAGAAATTCTAGATTAAAAACAAAGCCCCAAAGTTGGTTAAAGACATAAATCTACAGACTCAAGAAGCTTAGGTAGCTTTAACAGGATAACCCTAAAGAAATCCACGCCAGTCACTTCATAAACTGTTGAAAAATGAAGGCAAAGTAAAAATCTTGAAGGCAGTCAGAAATGATGCATTCTTTTGTAGGAGAACAATAATTTGAATGACTGCAGATTTCTCATCAGAAACCATGAAGACAGAAGAAAGTAGAAAACACATTTGTGTAAATGTGTTTACAGTATTTTGTTATAGTTTTTCTTTTATACTGTTGTTGCTGTTAATCTCTTACTGTGCCCAATTTATAAATGAAACTGTATCATAGCTATGTATATACAGGAAGCAACATTATATATAGGGTTTGGGTTATCTGTGGTTTAAGGCATCCACTGGAGGTCTTGGAACTTACACCCAGCAGATAAGGGGGTAACTACTGTATTGTCATTGTCCATGATACCTTGACCATTTACAAGTTCTCACGCATGGGGACAAGGTATTAACTGGGCTTATTAACTAATGCTCACAGCTTTTAATACTAACCCGTAGACTTCAAGTCATGTTCCAGTTTGAATTTTCTCTCTGCTAAGTCACATTGAACTATGTGACACTCAGAAGCTGTATACAAATAAAGAGTTAATTCCATTCGAATCAGAGAGTACATGTTAAAAATAATTTGGGGGAGAATGTATTATAATGGTTTAGTTATCAAAATATTTCATCATGTGACACATTTTCCTTTTAGGAAGATTTTTAAAAGCTAGAAGGTAGTTTGAAAACTAAATCTCAGAGATTAATAGTAGTCATCAAGTTGACAGGTAAGGTATGATTTAATGTTAATTCCAGTATTCTTCTTATTTATCCTTAGGTGTTTTCAGGAGTGAGAACAAAGGCTAAATTCTTGCTTAGAGTTTTTATGATTCTGGGAAGTAACATGATTTTATAGTTTTCCCAGTGCTTCTGTTTTATTTTAACCTCTAAAAATTTCTAAGACATGCCATATTAATAGAACAGCAGATTAATCCTAAAGCCTTCTAATTTTGTTTTGATTTCATCATTAACCTCAAGGAAGTTGTTAAAGAGTTTGATCTGATAAACAATAAAGATTAATCATATTATGTTTGGAAAGAGTTTTGTGCTTCATGTAAAAAATTTTTTAAATATTATATATATTTTTTCTCCCTCTATGAGTTGGGCAATACTAGAGTAGCTATGGAATTAAAGAGGTTCAGTTTATTTGAACCCTGTTCCAATAGCTACATTCTTTTTCATTTTGGCCTTCCAGATGTATGGCACAAGTATAGTCATTGCGGCTGTTGTCTTTTTTTTTGATGAAGACCTTAAGTACATTAACATTCCCATTTAAGATGGTCAGTGTATGTAGGATTATTAACAGAAATCACGTAGGATGCTTCAACCTAGATGTAATAGACAAACAAAGATGCAAATGAATGGTCCTAAGTAGAAGGTATCCATTTTTGTTTCAAAGGAATTCAGGGATGAAAACATAGGATTGTTTACTACTGAAGATAGGTAGTCCAATGTTACACATAACAACCGTGTATTTGGTAAAACTTTGAAGTCTGAAAAGAAGCCTTAGTGGGACAAAATCGGTAGAGATTATTTACCCAACTTTGAAGTGTTAAGCCCACAAGGGACAGTTTGAAGTTGGGAATGAGTGTGTTTTGAGTAGACAAAAGTAATCTTATTTTATATTCTTATTGAATGTGTATGACCATAATGACAAAAGGATTATCCTGTGATTTATTGAGATCTACTTGCACCAGCCACTCTACACAACTGTATACATACCAGCTCATTTATGCCTCATTAAAATCTTGTAATGTAGGGTCTTTACTAATCCATGTAGTGGGAAAAAATTTTGAATCCCATAATTTGGAGTTGTTTTTTTAACTATTCCCATATAATAAAAAATTAATCTTTTTTTTGTGTATGTATAAGAGGCATTTTGAAAGTTGTATGAATTTTTACTAGGATGAGACAAGGTACAAATTTCTCTAAACATATAGTAATTTGACAGTGCATAAGTTTGGATGAACTGTTTTTAAGCCATTGCTTGTGTTATAGTTACCTTCTGGTCTAAAACTTTTGGGACAGCAGAGTATCTAAGGCGGCGTGTGGCCTCCATGATCTGGTGTTGCTGCCTGTTCCACTTCACGGTTCACTACTAAATCCTCCCGTGGCTTTCGAGGGCTTATCTCATCTCTGGTCACACGAAGCTGATGCCCACACTGTCCCTGTCTCAGGACATTAAAAGTATTTTTTAACCATCCCTCTTATTTACTTTCAAAGCCCCTGCCTCTCTAAGCAAAACCTTTTAACCTTTTAAGAATGAGCTCCTAGATCATTTTTATTATAAAGATTTATCTGGTATTGTCAATCAGTTTATTTCTCTAACAAAACGATGCTTCACAGCACTTACTATCTGGGCCATTCATTTATGTTCAAAATTATGTCTTAATTTTATTAGAATCATATGATTTAGAATTAGAGACATTTAAAAATTGGTAGGAAGCTTGCAGATGTGTAAACAGAGTCCTACAGAAAAAATACAGAGGGAGGCAAAAGTAGGTTTACAGTTGTGAGTATGTGAAACACAGTTTATTCTTATATTATTACTTTCCAATTATTGTGTTCTTTATTTGTGTTGTGTAAACATGCTTTTCTCACCCCTGTATAATATTCTTGATAGGTGGGAGGTAGTTAGTCATAAGAGTACTATTAACTGGTGATGTTATTATTTTAAATGGTCTGTCCTCCCCAGCCTTGCTTGGAAAAGTTGTTCACTTTTGCCAGATCAATGTTTTTTTAAGGCATGCTATATAAAGTTGCCCATGTAAAAAGTGGCTTTTCATTTGGGATTCCTATTTAAAATGACACCTTTTTCCATTATCCATGACATAATACTATGCACCGTCTCCTTGACTGGGAGCAATTTAGCCATTGCTTAGTATTTCAGATTTATCTGCTGTAGAGGAGGACTGCATAGGTTTGGGGAGACTGCATCCTGGGTTCCCAAAAGTGGATATCACTATTTCATATAGCCTACATCTTTAAACCATGTGAAGTAAGCCTTCCAACTCTGAAAGAAGTCCATTTAGCATTTTCACTTGTTGTGGGAATAGTTAAGTGGATAGGAACGTTAAGTGTATTAAATTCATTGAATCTAGAGGAAAGCCAAGGAAAATGCTATACTCAGTCAGGACACCAGGTGGCACAGTGAGCTGCACACAGACGGAGCCTAAAGAGAGGCTCTGCCAGGGAGCTGGCTTTATCAGATTCTGTTAAGACTCCTTATAAACATGGGAAGACTGAGTTGGCGAGCCAGATGGCTCTCATCTTCAGTTACTCCCTTTCAAATGTATCTTATGATCTCCTGTTCCCATTGCTTATACATGTAGTTAGCTACCCACAAACTGTAAAATAGATGGATTCATTGTCTTGGGGGTTAAGAGAGTCAAGGACATCGCGCGTGTAGTCCAAGTCAGTCCAGTTGGCCCAAAGCTGAAACCTTCCTATTCTTGTTCAATAACTATGAACAGTAGGTAAGCATTAGTTTCAGTGTCCTAGGGCTTTGTTCAATATTGTGTTTGGAACTTAACTTCTTTAAAAATTTTTTTTTTATCTCAGAAAGAATTTCACAACAGATTTGCGTAGTTATGGATACCAAAGAAGATGAAGAACATGTTGGCCATCATCTTGAAGAAATGCTAAAAAATGAATTGAATGTAAGTATTCAAGTATCGAGTTTAATGATATTGAAGAGGTGAACATATGTCCTTTGTTCTTCCCCTTATTTGGTGAGCTGATCCACTTCCTAATCGAACTCACATCTAATATCAGGGCTAAGGAAATGGAAGAAGTGGCAATGTGTGAGGAGGCCCATAGGAATTTGCAACTTTTACCAGTAAGGACTTCCATTGTAGATTTTTATGATAACAGTGTGTTTGAAATGTTTTGTTTACCAAATGGATTTTATTGTTTTAATTTCCCTATTCTCATTGAAATGTATCACCACCAATCAGAGCTTATGATAAACATGCGATGACTTTTTGACAATATATGCAATAAAATTGTACTTAAAAGCAGAAAGAAAAAGTTCATTTTATTTAGCTAATTTTATCATAATGGCAGGAAAGAGGACAGGCTTTTTTATCAGACTGCCTGTGCCCAGATGTCAGCTTCATTGCCTAATTTCCTTATCTTAAGTTGAAAATGTTAATAACATCTACATGGTAAATTTGGTGGAATTGCTGAATAAAATAAATATACTTAAACTGCTCAGAAATGTCTCTGGCTTGCAGCGAGTTTTCAATGAATTCAAACTGTGATAATTCAACTTTCAAGGATGAGTCAAGGCTGACATCTGACAATACTAAGTAGTAGATAGTAGTAGTTCCTGAACTTCAGTCCTGTATTAGATACATGAACTGTTAGTAATGTAGATTCCTGGAATATGTAAATTTAATGAACCATAGTCTGGGATTAGTTCTGGAATCTAAGTTTTTATGAAGTTCCCTCAGGTGATTTGATGGCAGACAATCCAAATTCTACCCAAATTCTACCCGTAGCATTTATAGCAACAACCCAAGGCTGAAAAGAAGATAATGACCATCTTAGCTGTCTCTTAGGCATAAAGGTTGTATTTCAGTCTCCTGTGTTGCTTTTATCCAGTGGCTTTCTGGGCATTTCCCCTCCGTTGCTGCGATTTTAGCACCTGTTCTCTACTTTCTTTGTTGAGTCTGCCTGTTAAGAATCTGTGACTAAGTTCTGTGCCCCGATTTCCCTGCTGTACTTGCAGAGTATCTGTCAGTAACTTGCCCCTGCCTGGCCCACTGAAGCACCCTTTTCTCTCAAAAATGGTCCTTTACTCTTGAAAAATCTCATTCATCCTCTATCCAATCAATATCAAAACTGGTAAGATGGGGCCCTGAAAATATATTATTCGCCCTCCGCTATCAACCAACCCAAAATTTAGAGAGCTGGGTTTTTCTATAACTCAAGCACCTAGCTGGTGGATTTGTATGACTAATTCCTTTATTGGTCTTTCTAGTATTAGATCCTGCAAAGAGCCCTTTGGTTACAATGATTATAATATTCACTTTTTTTTTTACTGCTTCTCCTGTCTGTGTTTAATGACAAAATGACATGGGACTTAGGGATGCACTGGCCTTCTCTGATCCATCCATCCATCACTCTGGCCTCTCAGGCCCTTGTCCTTCTCATCCCAGGACCTTTATTTTCACTGCACTTCATCTGTTCCCCATTGGGCCCCGCCTGGATTTTGTCATTATCTTCATTGTATTGAAAAATAAATACTAAGTCTTTTCGCAACTTCTAACCATCATATTTTGTTATTTCTTATCTTTTACTAAATTACTCCTATGGCACATATTTCAAATTTATAGGAGACCCCAGACTCCTCATCTTTTTTCTTTCTTTCAGCTACATTTTGTTTTATCCTGTTCCTTAACTAGCTTAAATGCATGATCCATCGGAATCTTCAGTGGATCATGGGTTTTATTTCATCTTTTTAAAACTCACCCAGTGACATTTTTCATTGCTTTTAGAGAGAGAGGAAGGAAGAAAGAGCAACGTCAATGTGAGAAAGAAACTTCGATCAGTTGCCTCCTGCAGGCACCCGGACCAGGGATTGGTTGCACCTGGACTGGGGACTGAACCCTCAACCTTTTAGTTACAGGTTGGTGCTCCAACCAATTGAGCCACACTGACCACAGTGGATCATGGATCTTTTACTGATATCTTCAATTCTCTTGTCTTTAGAATGCACCCGCTTAGTAATTTCCCATCCATGTATTAGTCAGAACTTTTCAGTTCTTTAAGCTTTCACTTAATCTTAATACTGTTGGGGAAAATTATACAATGCAGATTGTTCTTTAGTGGGCACTGACTGTTTTAAAGCGACCATGATTCCATAGTCAGCTGCCCATGCTCCTGTTACTATTTTAAACCTCTTTGAATGCTAACCCAGAGACTGTTAACCTCAGTACTCTTGGCATCAGGGTTAGATGGTTCTCTGTAGCGAGACCCTGTCCTGTGCTTAGTACACTGTTTCAGAACACCCCTGCTCTGCCCACTGGATACCGGTATCACTCCCACCCCCAAGCTGTAGCAACCAAAAATGTTTACAGATGTTGCTAAGTGTTGCCTGGATAGGGGCAAAGTAATCCTGCAGTTAGGAACTACTGGTGTAACCCTTCCATCTTGACCTTCATTCCTAGATACGGCCTTGCCCTCTACTTTGGAGCAGAAGTACACCCTTCCCCGTGGGGACACCCCTATCTTCCCGGCGCCAGATCTCTAAAGAATCTTTCATCTGTTGCCATCCGCTTAGGAAGACTGTTTTCTCTCCTGAGCTCTGGCTCCCCTCCCCTCTCTACCTCACTCTTATCAACATTACAACATATTCCAGTTCCTCCAATTAATTAAAGCAAACAAACAAATCATTTTCTCTTCACCCAAGGTTACCCTGCAGCCAAACTTCTTCAGAATAACTTTCCTTTTTCTCCCCCCATCCTTTGTGATCTGACTTCTGCCTTAACCTTTTATAGGAACTGCTTTCAGGGAGGTCCTTAGTGGCCTCCCTATGTACAATCCATGAGACATTGATCTGTCTTTACCCTGATTTATTTCAGGACTTGACTCTCTTGTCTAATACTTTTAGAAAAAAAATCTCATTCTGTGGCTTTTGTAATATCTTATTTTTCTGATCCTTCTTTTGTGTTTTGGGCTTTCTTTTCTCAGTTTCTTTTACAGGATTCTGTTCCTAATTTTTAGGTTTCTTTACATAGTTGAATGGGGATTTTCCCCCCCTAGAAAAACCATGCTAATGGCTTCACATATCTTTTATTTGCTGAAGAAAAATAATTACATTTATTATGGTTTTCTTTCTCCCTCCCTCTTGATGACTAAATTGATATTAATATTGCTATAAAATACTATTGTCTTGTCCTGGCTGGTGTGGCTCAGTGGATTGAGTGCTGGCCTGGGAACCAAAGGGTTGGTGGTTCAATTCCCAGTCAGGGCATATGCCTGGTTTGCTGGTCAGGTCCCCAGTAGGGGGTGCTCCAGAGACAACCACATATTGATGTTTCTCTCCCTCCCTTCCCCTCTCTAAATATAAATAAATAAAATCTTTAAAAATACTTTTATCTTTTATTTATTAACCTTAATATTTTGGCTATTGTCTAATGGTTCTCTATTCCGGGCTACATTGATATTAGTTTCTTCTTTTTTCTACCTTCCCTCTTTCAGTATCTAATTTGAATTGATATTTTTAAATGCAATTAATAAATGTTAAGATGATACTGTCCCATTTATATGTAATTATATACTAAAGTCTCTCTCAAAACCATGATTTATTCTTTGGTCCATATGAAAAGATATAATTAATGCCCACTATGGAGGCTTACGTTGATATCTTGCAAACCCTTTTGGTTCTTTGAAATTAATCTTCTGATAGAGTTTCCTGGAAGCTTTCCTGGGTACAGTATTCCCAAGTTCTTTCATATGAATACAATTTTTCTGTGGCTGAAAATTCTACATTTTTATTTTGGTTTGATAAAAAAATCCTTGCTTCAACAAATTCTCCATGAGCATCTTAAATATACCTCTCCATTGTCTTTATCATAAAGCGTTTTTAAGAAGTGTAATAAAATCCGATTTTCTTTGTCTGATAAATGACTTGGTCTCTTTGTCTCAATGCCAAGGAATTTTTTTTATTTGAAGTCCAATATTTTTACCAGAACTTACTCATTCTTGGCCATTTTAGGTTCATATTCTTATTTATACAGCATGCTTTTAAAGTGGTATAATTTTACATATTTCATGTCATTAAGCTTTTTATGACATGACTATTTCTAATATTTTCTTTTTTATTGTTTAGCTTTCATTTTCAAAGATTCCTATTACATAAAGGTTATATGCTCTTTGTCCATCTTTATAACTGTTATTTTATCTTGGATTTTTTAAAATGTCTTTTTGATTTTAAACTTTTCAAACTCTCAGTCTTATATTTTTCTTTAGGCATTATCCATTGTTTATATTCAATTTTGTATCCTTCCTAATTTACTCTTTATTTTTGAAACATTATTTATTTAGTTCTCTTGTTTTAATCAATTTCTGAAGTATTCCGCTTCTGACTTTTATAGTTCTATAGTTTTCTTAGATTCTTTTACCTTCGTATTAAATGTTGGGTTACCGTTTTCATTTATTATGTCAATACATCTTTCTGATGTGCGTGTATTGCCTGTAGGGACATTATTTTTCCCTTTACTCTTATTTTTAGTGTTATTTTTTATCTTCACCCAAGGATATAATCATTGCTTTTTAGAGAGAGACAGAAACATCCATGTGAGAGAGAAACATCGATTGGTTTTCTCCCATATGGCCCCCGACCAGGGACCAAACTCACAACCGAGATGTGTGCCCCGACCAGGGATCAAAGCTGCAACCAGGGGTGTGCCTGATGAGAGATCGAACTGGCAACCTTTTGATGTAGGGGACCATGTTCCAACCAACTTAGCCATCTGGCCAAGGCTATATTATTTCTTTCATATTAAATATATTTGAGATTTTTTAAGATCCTCTCCTGGTCCTAAAAGTAAGAGAATTTTTATCAATTTTTAGGAGGAAGGGGTAGGTCATAATAATTTTTCCATCTTACCAGCATAATGCTTCTTACTCAGTTGTTTTCAGGAAAAGGGGG